AGTGGTAAAAAGTATAACTATTGCACTGTGTTGTACACCTGAAACTAATTTTTTTTTAAAAAAGGGAAATTCTAGAACTGAAAAATATAGTATTTGAAATGAAAAGTTCACTGGATGGGTTTGACAGGAATTAGACATTACAGAATAAAAAACAAGTGAATTTGAAGGCAAAGCAATGGAAACCATCCAAACTGATACAAGAGAGAAGAAAACTGAGAACAAAACCAAAATCAACCAAGTTTCAGTGACCATGGGACACTATCAAGTTGTCTGATTCAATGTCTGGTGAAGTCCAGCTTCCTGATTCATAGACAGCTATCTTCTCTCTATGTCCTCATATAGCGGAAGGGGACAAGGGTGCTCTGTGAGTTTTTGCTTGTTTGTTTTTTATGAGCGTACTAATCTTATTCAGGAGGACACTGTCCTCAGGACCTAATCACTTCCCAGAAGCCCTATCTCCAAATACCATCACACTGGGGATTAGGTTTCAATATGAGTTTTGGGAAGATAAAACCATTGAGTCTATGGCACCATATAAACAAAAAAATCTGTGGTGTCCTCTGTAATATTTCAAGTGTAAAAGGGTCCGGAGACCAAAACTTTGAGAACCTCTGTTTAACCCTTTTCCATATACAGCCTCACTCACAATATAGTCTTAGTTCACCTCTACCCACCTCTGCCTTCAATGCCAAAATAACCTTTATTCTTTAATTGCTTGTGGGGCCATTATCAGAAGGGATGAGAAGAGCGAGCCCATGAATAGTACTGTCATTTGTCCTCCAGCATGTAGCTCTTATCTTTTGTGAACCACTGATATTCCTATGTAGCCTTGGCCAAAAGACATTGAAACTTCCATGTGGGTGATGATACTCCTGACATCTTGGCCATGGGAATATTGCTTGAAAACATGTATGTCTTTCCCAAAGTCTAGCCTAAATAGCACCTATGGGTGCTACATAGAGATTATTGGGAAGGCAAAGAAGTTCTATTATTATCTAACTATTCTCCAGTTACAAAAGATTATAATGTATTATAGAATAAAAGGTAACTTAGGATGCCTTTGGACAAAACTAAAATAGGGAAAGAATTACAGAAGGGAATGTGGTAAGAGAGCCACTTTTAATTTCAAGAAAGGTGCTCTCCAAGAGAACAAAAAGAGGAGAGCATTGCAAGAGTCACTGTTGCAGTGGGTTTGAGATAAAGGATACTTTGCTCCTGGAGCTGGTGTCCAGGATAATGCATCCCAGTCTCTTGTGAGGATCCTTTTTTGGTGCCCTCTAACAAAACTGCTCTCACTTAAGTCACTAGTGGCCTCCTAATGCCTAAAATCAGTGGTATAGTTTGAGACTTTGTATTGTACTATTTGATCTTTCTTCAACAGTTGACATAGCTGAGCAAACTATTGCTCTGTAAAGCTTTTTCTCTCACTTTCATGTGACTCTAAAGCATTTTCTCCTTCCTGTTCTATCATGCCTTTGTAGTTTCCTTAACAGAATTTCCCCACCCTTGTATGTTATAAACAAACAAACAAACAAACAAACCCCCAAGACATTAGTGTCATTCTGGGTTGTGTTCTGGTTTTGGTCCTTTTCTCTTCTTCCTGAGCTACCTCATTCATAGCCTTCTATCACATTCAAGCCCTAATAGTTCTCTATCTCCAGATCCATGCTTCTAACTGACTACTACGTATCTTTGCCTGGATGCCCTGCAGGCATCTCAAACTTAAAATGCCCAAAGCTTATCTTCCCCTCCACCTCCTCCAAAACGTACTCCTCCTCTTCTACTCCCTATCTCAGGGAGTGGTATCATTACCCACCCAAGAACCCAAGCCAGAAAGAAACCTGGGTGACATCCTCAACTCTTCCCTCTCCACACTCAATGGACCATTAAGTTTTCTTAATTCTACATTAGAACTATTTCTGCAACCCAATCTCTCCTCTCTAGCCCCCTGAGAACTTCTGCCTAAGTTCTTATCAATATTTTTATCAAAAATAACATCATATAAAGTCTCCCCTACTACCAGGCTCTGCCATTTCCAATTCCTTCTTTAGAATAGAGGACATCAGTTTTAGGGGTTTCATTATTAAGAAAAGCTTAAAAAACGGTTTTGAGAACTGATATACTGCGGCATTTTTCTTTAAAAAAATTTTTTTGCCAGGGCACAGAAACCAACATCATCTGCCCTCACTGTCATTTCATAATAATAATTTTAGAAGACTGTTCAACTACAAAAAATAGAAAGTACCATATTCTCAGAATAGAAAACAGTTCTTTAAATATATTAGGCTTTTCAAATGAAACAGTTTGCTGGATGGGAACCACTGCTCTAGAATCTAGACTGCCATCAGAGTCTTCTTTCACAAAGTAAAAATGACTAATTTTCCCTAGCTTGAAACTCTGTGTGTATTATATAAACACTTCAATTTATCCACATAATCTACATGCATATCATTTTACTGGCTTTTAATGGATACATAGACTGTATTGTGTTGACATGCTATTGACATGTCCGTTGTGGTCTTCTAAGTTAGGCATTTTTTTAAATATTAAAATTTAAATATCCTTTGTCACATATCACCTCGAGGCCTTACAATAAAAGACACCCTCTTTTAGGTACCATAGAATGCCCTTTACAATCTGATCTCAATTTACTTACTCCTCAGCAAGAACTTCCCCTAAACATATCACATTCTTTCATGCTCTTATGCCAGTGGTTCTCAGCCAGGAGCAATTCCCTGCCCCCTTCTCCAAGGGGACATTTGGCAATGTCTCTTATGGTCTGAATTGTGTTCCCTCCCATGTTGAAGTCCTAATCCCCAATGTGAATGTATTTGGAGATTAAATATATATACACATATATGTATATATGTATATATATGTATACATATATACATATATATCATAGTATCTATACATTTTTAAAGTTACATGTATAGCATTTTTAACCATAAAGATATAAAAAAAAATCCTTAGTATTTCCCTTAATGTTAAGCAATCAAGCTTTATCAATTTTTTTCTTAATGTATTTCTTGTTAACTCATTACCAAAGATCACATAATACATAAGTGTGCCTTAAAATATTTAGGCCATCGTATAATCCATAAATGGAAAAATTTTCAAGAGCATGGCTTACTAACAGTAATGTTAGCTAACACATCACTTTTGTGTCAGACATTGCACTAGCATAAGTGCTTTCTCTCCATTTGGAAATTTAATTTTTATATCCTGTGATGTGGTAGTATTATTATTCTCATTTTACAAATGAGGACACTGAAATTTGAAGAGATTAAGTAACTTGTCCAAAGCCATACTAGTAGCAAGGACTTCAAAGAAAATAAGGCTAAGGCTAATTTTTGGAATCTTAATTTTCTCAGCAAAAATACATTTTTTAGACAAAGTAATAAACATATCTTATTACAATGCATTAATTTTATAATAGGACAAGTATCTCTCCAAGGAGATACTCATCTAGGAGATACTGTCTACTTATCTAGTTAACCATCTGAAACAAAATGACTTCATGTAATTAGCTAGAAAAAATATCCTAGCCTGGGCTAGTCTTGAGTTACATTTATTACAGGTTCTCTTAGATTCTTACTTAGGTTTTCAACATTTCTCATTCTTTTATCCTATTATTCAATTTCCTGTTGTAGAGAAAACCAAATGAAGAAAAGTAATGAAAATAAGGAGTGTCATGGGCTGTTATTTTAAGTATAGTTAACCTAATTACCTCAGACTCTTCAGTGTCCTGGAATATAATCATCCATCGAATATCCATTACCATCATGTTAAGATATGTATTGTTTTTCACTACTACCTTAAAGTTTTGTTTTCTTGCCCTCTTTTCAGAAAAGAAAGGGGGAGAAGTAGAGTATAATCCCTTTGCAGCAAAGAAACAGTATTTTGTTTTATTATTGCATTTTAGCTTCTTTTTTTCCCCCCACTGAACAAACTTTATTTTCACATGAGAACTGTGGATCAACTTATACCTCAAGCACCTCTCTGTCAAAATTCATCTATTAAACCTATAGGTTCTGTACCCCAGGATCCTGTGTCTCCTGGGGTGGGTCTGCAGTAGCAGCTGTGACCCAAGTGTTCCCAGAACTTAGGAAGTAACCGGGAAGATTCACAATAAAGCTTAAAGGCATTTTTGATGTAGTAGATATTACTTATAAGGATGTTAATAGTTTCTGGCAGTAACTTTGCACAACAAGGGTGAGCTTTGATTCTCTCAGGTTGACCAGCTACATCCTTGCCCTCAATCTAAAAAACGTTTGGACCCTTTAAAAATTTCTCAGCTTTGTGTGAGACTAATGTGGAACAGAAAGTAATAAATAATGTAAGGAAAGTATTAGCAGCTTATTTTATTATTTCTTTACATGTCTGCTTTGTTGAATGCTAAACTTTCTTGAGGGTACAGATTTGTGTCTTGCTCATTTTTTTATTGTCCATCAAGAAAAATTACTTCTAGTCTACTATCAATAAATATTTACTGAACTGATTCGCAATTTCAATTGGGAAGGTAGACTACAGAACTATTAAACTTTTTGTGCCTGATGTCCTGGGTTTGGATTCTAACTCTATGTACTTGCTGTATTACCTCGTGCAAATTACCAAAACGCTCTCACTCTAATTTACTCAACTCAGAAGTGGATGAAATGAGATAATGAATGTAAAGTACTTGGCACTCCTCAAGTGTTATTTACACAATTATTTACTAAGTTCCTATTATGCTCTAATTTAGAGGTAGGTGCTGGTGATAAGAGTAGAAAATACGCAGGATTCCTGTCTTCACGGAGCTCAGGGTACTGAGGAGACAGACATAAAACAAATAATCACGCAAATCAATTAGAAATTGCCGCGCAGAAAAGGTTAAGAATTCAGTGAGAGGTTCTAAGAACAGGGCCTTAGGTTGTTGAGGATGGATTCTCTGAGGGAGCGGGCATTTCAACTGAAACTCGGAGGAGGAGATTCTCTCTCCTCACGTTCCTCAAACTCACTTTCGTCTGGCTTCCATGTATCTGCCTCTTTCTAAGGCCACCAACGGTTTCCATGTTACTATATACGTGCCATTTTTCAGTCCTCTTACTTGACCTCTTGGCAGTACTCAATGCAGTTGACCGCTCCCTCCTTGATGCTGTCTCCTCTTGGCGTCTCTAATAATAAACGCCCCTCTGCCTGCCTCTTCAGTCCCCTCAGCAGGTTCCTCTTAAGTGCCCGGACGGCCTCGCCTTGAGCTGAAAGTGTGAATAACAACACAGTCCCTTTCAGTCATAAAAAAGGAATGTGTACAAGTGAGTACATTTTTTAGCCCTTTTCCTCGCTTTCGGTACGCTTTATAACACCGCGACTATAAAACTTTTCTGTTCCAACAAGGGCCGCCCCTCTCTCGCGGACTGCGCCTGTCCGCACGGTGTTCAACTTAACCCGAGGAGGGCCGATGAGCCGGGGGAACGCCCGAGGCGCGCGCAGAGGGAGGTGGCGAGTCCGGCCCCAGGCAACCGCAGCCATGCCCGTCCAGACCCAGATTCAGTACCGCGGCGGCCGCGAGGTCAGCCACTCACCCAACCGCGCGCAAACCGCCCGCTAGCGAGTCCTCCGCCGTCCCAGCATTCCCTGCGCCCCACCATCGAGAGCAGCTTCCGGCGTTGCTGGTGTAGGTGGGTGAAGAAGCCGCGGGCCCTCGCCGCTCTGTCTCACTCCCTCGCGCTCTCTCGGGCAACATGGCGGGCGTGGAGGAGGCAGCGTCCTCCGGGAGCCACCTGAATGGCGACCTGGATCCGGACGACAGGGAAGACGGAGCTGCCTCTACGGCCGAGGAGGCAGCCAAGAAAAAAAGACGAAAGAAGAAGAAGAGCAAAGGGGCTGCCACAGGTAAAGGGAGTTTTATGTTTTTCCCAACCACCGCCAGGGATGGCCGAACGGCTCGGCTGAGGCCCGGCGGGGGTGACAGGGACTGGGGACTTGGAGCCCTGGACTGGGCTGATTCCCAGGACTTGAGCGTATGTCAAGGCCGTGCTATAGGTTTCCAGTACTAGGGAGCGGCGGCTTTTCGTTCTGTGTGAGAGCTGGTGGGGGCGAGGTGGGAGGGAAAACGCGCTCAGCTTCTTGTGAGGGAGCTTTGGGGTCACTAGGCCCGAGCCCCTATATTGCCAGAATTCATCTCCCACACAGACCGTGCAAGCTGTGCCCAGAGCCCAGCCCTACCACCTTCTTCTCGGTTTGGCCTCCTCAGAAATCTGGTTCTGACCCATACAGCCGCCTCTTTGCTGGAACATCCTGGGACTTATTTCTTCAGGGTGGGGTTGAAGTGAGCAAGTCCTGGTTCCATCCCAATTCACAGAGGGATTTTTGTTGTGGGCTGCACTTTTGGCGTGTGTATATGTGTGTATGCCCACGCGTTCATGTCACTGAGTTGTAGTTGCAGAATGTGTGGTGGCGGTGTGCATTGTCACCTGCCTAATCCCACAGCATCATGAAGCTTTAGAGCTTTTAGGCCTACATTCTGATTCCATTTGCAGGCAGTCCAGATAGGATATTCTGTGGAACTTCTCTAAACCAACTGGTAAGGCAAGGAAAACAGCTGAAAGTATATACTTGTGTTATATTATGAGTTAGGAATGTACATATTTTATTTTGAGAAGTCAATGTTTTCATTGCACCAGGTTCTTCATTTTAGGAAAAATTATTTGTACTTGTTTTTAATTAAAGTCAGCCACAGAAAGAAAGAGAGAGAAATGGAGAGGCCAGAAGGGATGAACGTGGAGTCGAGAGAGGTTGGAATTGTGAAATTTTCTGAAATTTTGATTAGATGGGAGTTGAAGTGGGAGAGTTGCAGGTGTTGGGAGAGTTGCAGGTGTTGGGATACTTGCAGAACAAAATTAGTCCCAGGACATGGGCTACTGGCTCTTCCTGGCTTTCCGATGAAGTCCAAACTCTTCACTTTGTCCTTTAAGGTGTTCAGCAGACTGACCCTAATATACTTTTAACAGTTTTATGTGTCAGCCATTATGAATCCTCTCTAGTAAGTAGCCAGAATGTCACTTCAATATGTGGTACCTGGTAAGGCTATCTCTTTCTACATGCAGATATTGCTCCTCTAACTAGATTGTAATCACTTCCAGAGCAAGGGCCTGGTCTTTTGCTTAGCTGTTCAAGAATTTTGGTTTTTTAGTAATGGAATATCTTTTTCTATTTTTATTTTACCCAGCCCAGCTTGACAACATCTTGCTTCATGAATCCTTGAAGCGCCCAGTGTCCCACAGAAATCCTCTTAACTAAGGTCTTCATCATTTATTGCCTATGTTAAGTACCTGTTTGGTTAATAAAGTATTGTAGTCTAATTGTTAAATACTTTAGAAAGTTAAACTACTTAAGGATAGGGACCAACTCACACTTTTGTTTATCCTTTAGCTGCTTACACAGAAAGTGTAATATTTTGTTGAATGGACAATACAACTTAGATGTGGAAGATTTTCTCTGTCATTAAATAACTTCTGTTATGTTCACAATAATATTTCTGTTTTTGTTTCCTAAATATTTATCAGGAAAGGACTTGTGTTCTCCAGTATCTTTAGAACATATTCTAGTGGGAAAGTATCTTTATTAGATTTGATTTATGTTACTGTATTCGATCAGCAGGGCAACAGGAACCTGATAAAGAATCAGGAGCCTCAGTTGATGAGGTAGCAAAACAATTGGAAAGACAAGCATTGGAAGAGAAAGAAAGAGATGATGACGATGAAGGTAAATAATTTGATGTGTGTGGTTAAGAAAAGCAAGAAAATATGACATTCTTTAAACAAAATTTTATTTGTCCATGCAGTCTATTATTCTCTGATGTTTTTCTTAATTGACAGTAAAGCCTCAATGTCACAGATAAAAAGGAAAGGGTGTTTATTAGCAACTCTTTAAAAAGTTGGATATGTTGAATGTCTGCTTAACTTTTAAAAATGTACTTGGTAAAAGGCCAAATAGTAGATGAGATTATAAAACTGAAGGACTGTTTATTTAACTAGCATTTATTGAACAACTAATATGTATTAGGCTATCCTAGGATACTTTCACATGATTCTCATTTTACTCTCCCAAACCAAAGTAGGTGCTCTTCTCAGGAAATGATAGTTAACATGATTTTCCCAATGTGACACAGGTAGTATGTGTAGAATAGAACCAGAGTTTCAAACCTAGCACCTGATATCAAGTCTATTCCTTTTACTGTCTGTACTAAACCTACCTTTATTCTCAAAGGAGCATATTGGCATGCTTCTAAACTCTTTTGTAAATTCTCAGATCTTAGCTCTTTGTGGTATTTTGGTGCTATTAGATTTCTTTAAAGATGGCGATTCTTGGAATTCTAGGAATTGATGCTATCAGTAAGACAGTGATGGAGTGATCATTATGATTCTGTAGCCTCTTTTGGCAGAGGGGGAGTTGGGGTTTTCCTATTCTCAGTTATCGACTGCTGTGACCTACTGCTCTACCTCAAGCACTGCCATCTTGGGCTTAATGCCTTCCAACCTTTAGCAATAAATACCTATTGTACTGTAATTATTGTGTTAGGATAATGCAGAGTTGTTGTTTTTCCTTTAGAAAAACATCTTTTTTGCCTTCATGTAGTTTATAGTTAAAATTTGGTGGGAAAGGTACCAAAATTCAAGGGAATCATTAGCTTTTCCATTTCCTTAAGCAAAACTTTTGTCCATTGTACCGTTGGTTATACTTAAGATTATGAACATATTTTGAGCTCTTTAATAAGAAATGGGTTTATAAATTCAAGGTAATTAATATAGGTTGCTGTAGACCCACTATGTGTAGAATATCACAGTGCTAATCTTGAGTATGCCTTGGTCCATTGCATCTCTGCAAAGTTGTATGAATCTGTTGACATTGAAGGGGAAGCTTGCTTGTCAGATTGGAAATCTTTAATGTATTAAAGAAGACTTCAAGAATATTAGTAGTTTTCTCCAGTTTGGGCTAATTGTTTTCCTAATTTATTTTGATAGTATCAGCCAGTACTACTAACCTGGTATGAGAGGTCTCTGAGGGGGTGGAAAGCTGGTATTTCAGAATCTTTCTTCTAAAGGAAAATTGATAGTGTGAGGGAGAGAAAACATAGAGGTGAAAAGATAAGCTACAGTAACGTTTATTGAAATTTGGAGGTGGAGTTGTGGGCTAAATGCTGAAGGAGAGCTCATTGGAATAAATAGGACTTGAATAAAACCAAACAGAAAAGACCATTTGGGGGTAGAAGGATGCTGAGAAAGTATTCAAAGTAGTAATGTGCAAACTGGCCATATGAGATTTACTAAGGGAGCCTTTGAGCATTTTTAAAAGAAAAATGTTCTGAAAAAATAATTTAGTCTTCATATATCTGCAGGATTATTAGAAAAGAGGAAACAAACAGGAAAGGCAGGGAGATCATTTTGGAGACCACTTAACAATAGCATAGGTGTGCAGTAATGGCAGTTTAAATTGGTGGGCATAAATGAGAATGGAAAGGAAGGGTTCGATGGAACAGTGGTTGGGGAAGCAGAATTCAAAGGACTTGGAGATTTGCAATCTGGGAAGAAGGAAAAAAGGAGAGGCATTAGACTCCAGGGGTTGAACTTGGGTGACAGTATGTTGGTGCTATTGACTCACATGGTGAAGTAGGGAGGGGAGAGCTGGTTAAGAGATTGGGGTGGGGATTGCAGGCAAAGAAAAAGGTATTGAGTTTGATTTTAGATGTGCTTGATTTGATACTGGGGGTGTTGGTGTGCAAAGTTTACTGTTAGTGATGTGCTAGAGGTAATTCATTCAATACAATTTTAAGTCAGGTTTATTAAGGTATAATTTGCCGAGGATAATATTCATTCATTTAAAAAAAATAGACAACATTTTAGAGCAGTTTTAGATTCACAGCAAAGTTGAACAGAAGGTACAGAGATTTGTCATATACCCCCTACCACCAACATTCACAGCTTTTCCCATATCAACATTCCTCATGAGTGGTACATTTGTTACAATTGATGAGCCTACACAAATACCTCATTATCATGTAAAGTCCATATATTAGGGTTTACTCTTGATGTTGTACATTCTATATATTCACCCTTTTTAAGTGTATGGTGATTTTTCACAAATGTATGCAATAGTGTAATCACTACCACAACCAAGATATAGACCACTTCCATTTAACATTTCCACCTCCACCAAAAAGTTTCCTTGTGCTTCTTTGTAATCAAGTTCTCTTGCTCTTCACCCTGTCTCATGGAGCATCTTGAAGCATTTTAGGTTGAGTCGTATGCTAGACATTGAATGTTCTTCCAGAGCAAAGACTATCTTGTTTACTGTTCTGTTCCTATTGCCTGTCACTTAAGAACTCAGCAAACATTTATTCGATGAATAAAGGTTATTATAATTGTAGTTTAGAATATGTGAACTAAATTATATGACACACGAGGAAAATGAAAGTTGTGTTTTCCAAAAATTTTTCATATTATTTTTGTTAGGCTTTTGAACCTAGAAACCAATAATGACTAATTCAGCAATATTTGTGTTTCCACTATGTTCTTGTTATTTTATAGGATTGATCATAAGAAATTGCAATTTTGAAAGTCA